ACGGGTATTCCATGTCCTTATCCGAGGGAATGGGATTCAATACCATACCCGACCAAATTCAATCTGATTAACTTCACACCGTTTGAAGGGAAGAGTTCGCCGATTCAACACTTGATTTATTTCAAGTCTCATTTGGGCATAATCTCTGGAAACGAGGCCTTAATGATCCGGTCATTCGTTGGCACCCTTCGTGGGCCCGCCTTCGATTGGTACCGACGGCTCAAGCCAGGGAGCATCAATTGCTGGGATGACATGGAAAGTTTGTTCCTCAGCAACTTCTTCGATGATGACACCGAAGTGTCAATCGGAACTCTTTTGGATGAGAAGCAAAAAGACGGAGAGTCAGTCGACAATTTTGTCAAGCGTTTCCGTAACATGGCGATGAATTGCAGAGATCCTATTACAGAGGAGTTCATCCTGCAAACATGTCACAATAACCTCTCCATCGATGTCCTGGAAGCTCTGGGGGTCGTGCCATCCACAACTTGGAAGGAGTTAAAATCTCGGGGTGAACAAGCTGAGCACTTTCTTAAAAGAAAGAAAGCTGAGAGAGGCCAACCAATGACATCTGCAATCATTGAGAATGCGACTCTCGATCCGAGGTTTCAAAAGGAATATTCTTTCGAAGATGATGAAGCTCCAGCCATCTTGGAATACCTCCTCGCTAATGACAAAATCGAGCTACCACCTATTAAAGATCAGGATGGTGCTAAAATGATTATGGATCCAAATTACTGTGCGTACCACAGAAGGGTTCTTCATCCCACTGAGATTTGCTTTGGACTCAAAAACAAGATCCAAGCCCTAATTGACTCCGGCGTCATAACGACGAAAGAAGTCGAGTAAAGACGACCATAAAACTCCATTGGGTACACGAGTATAAACTGTTTCCCCTCACTCCGAAAAGTATACGAGTATAAACTGCTCCTTAATACTCCAACAGGTATATGAGTCTAAACTATTTCCTTTCTTTCACGGGAAGTTCCTGAAGAATGCCATGCATGGTACTTTTAAGGATAACCCGATCATATAGCTAAACATAATGATAAACTCAGTTTCACAAGAAAAAGCTGGGGGTGGATGGTTCATGTAACGGAAGTTCCCGAAAGAATGCTATATGTAATTTTCTTAGGAATAACCCGATCATTACAAACAAAGTGTTAAACACTACATCCCCACGGTGATTTCCGAATATTCATTTGCTGAGATGAGATTCGATCACTTCGTTGGATCAATCTTCCCTCTCAAACCCTCCTTTGGTCAAACCTTTAAACAGTTAGGACCAAAGCCAAAATCCCCTCTCGATTCGTTCCATGAACGAGAGGTCCACAAATTGAACGATCAAACCTTTAAACAGTTAGGATCGTCTCAAATCCCCATCTTGGTCAAACCTTTAAACAGTTAGGACCAAAGCCAAAATCCCCTCTCGATTCGTTCCATGAACGAGAGGTCCACAAATTGAACGATCAAACCTTTAAACAGTTAGGATCGTCTCAAATTCCCATCTTGGTCAAACCTTTAAACAGTTAGGACCAAAGCCAAAATCCCCTCTCGATTCGTTCCATGAACGAGAGGTCCACAAATTGAACGATCAAACCTTTAAACAGTTAGGATCGTCTCAAAACTCCAACTTGGTCAAACCTTACTACAGTTAGGACCAAAACCAAAATCCCCTTTCGATTCCTTCCATGAACGAGAGGTCCAGCTTCGATTTGTGCAATCAAAACTATAAAAGTTAAGATTGCTTCCAATCTCAATTGATCAAACCTTATTCAGATTCTCTGAATAGAAATCCCAATTTAAATTTCCTTTGTACCAGGAGATAGAATATAAAATTCTTCCTCTCCATCATTGAACGAGAGGTCCACAAATTGAACGATCCAACCTTTAAACAGTTAGGATCGTCTCAAACTCCCATTTGGTCAAACCTTTAAACAGTTAGGACCGAAGCCAAAATCCCCTCTCGATTCGTTCCATGAACGAGAGGTCCACAAATTGAACGATCAAACCTTTAAACAGTTAGGATCGTCTCAAATTCCCATCTTGGTCAAACCTTTAAACAGTTAGGACCAAAGCCAAAATCCCCTCTCGATTCGTTCCATGAACGAGAGGTCCACAAATTGAACGATCAAACCTTTAAACAGTTAGGATCGTCTCAAATTCCCATTTGGTCAAACCTTTAAACAGTTAGGACCAAAGCCAAAATCCCCTCTCGATTCGTTCCATGAACGAGAGGTCCACAAATTGGATGATCAAACCTTTAAACAGTTAGGATCATCTCAGAACTCCCACTTGGTCAAACCTTACTACAGTTAGGACCAAAACCAAAATCCCCTTTCGATTCCTTCCATGAACGAGAGGTCCAGCTTCGATTTGTGCAATCAAAACTATAAAAGTTAAGATTGCTTCCAATCTCAATTGATCAAACCTTATTCAGATTCTCTGAATAGAAATCCCACTTCAAATTTCCTTTGTACCAGGAGATAGAATATAAAATTCTTCCTCTCCGATTCCGGGTTCATCTCTACCAACAAACAAGAGATTAGAAGATAGAATATAAAATTCTTCCTCTCCATCATCGGGTTTATCTCTACCAACAAACAAGAGACCAGGAGATAGAATATAAAATTCTTCCTCTCCATCATCGGGTTCATCTCTACCAACAAACAAGAGACCAGGAGATAGAATATAAAATTCTTCCTCTCCATCATCGGGTTCATCTCTACCAACAAACAAGAGACCAGGAGATAGAATATAAAATTCTTCCTAAGAGACCAGGAGATAGGATATAAAATCTTTCCTCTCCGATTCCGGGTTTATCTCTACCAACAAACAAGAGATCAGGAGATAGAATATAAAATTCTTCCTCTCCATCATCGGGTTCATCTCTACCAACAAAAAAAGAGACCATATTACTCCATTGGGTACACGAGTCTAAACTGTTTCCCTACCATCAACATGAAGTTTCTGGAGAATATTACTCAGAATATTCTTAAGAATAACCTGAATACTCCAATAGGTACACGAGTCTAAACTGTTTCCCTATCATCAACAGGAAGTTTCTAGAGAATATTACTCAGAATATTCTTAAGAATAACCTGAATACTCCAATAGGTACACGAGTCTAAACTGTTTCCCTATCATCAACAGGAAGTTTCTAGAGAATATTACTCAGAATATTCTTAAGAATAACCTGAATACTCCAATAGGTACACTTTAAACAGTTAGGACCAAAGCCAAAATCCCCTCTCGATTCGTTCCATGAACGAGAGGTCCACAAATTGAACGATCAAACCTTTAAACAGTTAGGATCGTCTCATTGTCCATTTGGTCAAATCTTTAAACAGTTAGGACCAAAGCCAAAATCCCCTCTCGATTCGTTCCATGAACGAGAGGCCCACAAATTGAACGATCAAACCTTTAAACAGTTAGGATCGTCTCAAAACTCCCACTATCCTCCATCTCCATCTATAATATATTCACATACCCAAATTAAGCTGCTAGAGTTTCTTCTCACCAACTACACCATTAATCAACTATTCTTTTTTTTCCTTTGTACTTAAATTGTATAACATTCATTGCGATGAAGACTCACCTAGGTCCTCTGCCTGTCTTGAATGCCCAATAATAAAATAATATAATATACTTCGTAGTTAGTTAATAATGAGACCCTATCATTATAAACAAATTAAGTAAATATTAATAATTCTTAATAATATACTTGTTAATTGTTTATTCCTGGCTCCAAAAGATTTTTAAAATTAATCTTAATGGTTGTTTACACTAAAAGAGTTATGTTAGAGCGCCTATACAGACTATTTTCTTATTTAAATTTGCCAACACGTTTTGTTTCTAATACATATCAATTATGAGTAATAATATAATTTGATCGATCCAAGTATATCATAATAGGTTATAGACTCTTGTCATATTTTTTACTATTTATTATGTACTGACTTGATATCACAATTGATTGAGACGATGAAGACATTACTGTAGAATTGCATGGGATAAAGATAAAGGTGGAGAATGATTGATCTCGGCTCAATTAAATATGAAACCAGAATGAATAAATGACAATTTTTTAAATGTTTTATAATAAACCTTAATTTTTTGAGTAAAATTAGAAATTATAGAAGGAATTTTCACGCAAAAATTTAAATATGTTTATGTGAATGCTTTTGTCATATAAAATTATACTAGAATTATCATTGTTGTTTAGTATTTTTTTTAAATCTACCAATAATTAAGATATCTTACAGTATTGCCAAAAGTATGTGCTCTGTGCTGAGTTTATACAAACCATCTTAATATTAAGTATTTGGTTATATATTTATTAACACATCAACAATATATTATTGTATTTTTTTTCTCCAAACTTAACACTACAGTTTATGACTAAGATAAATAAATTGGAGATCGATGATTTGATCCAATAAACAAATATGTTACATGAAGTTTGATATAAACAAATTTAAAAAAAAATAATATTGTGTATGCAAGTATATAAAAGTATATTGATCCCAGTTTAACACACAAATCTATTTCACAAGTTATTTTATATTTAAATAAAATCATGACAAATGTAATAATCCATGTTATAGATTTTAAATCAAAATAAACCACACTTATTTTATAGTAAGAAAATAAATAAATAATAAATAATTTTGATATATAACCATACACAAAAACTAGTCGGTAAAAACGAGCGAGAAATTTAGTGAAAAAAGAGAAGAGAAAAAAAAAAACGAGAGAATAAATAAATAAATAAATAAAAAGGAGAATATTTGCTACCCACTTTGCACCCGCCCACTATCCGCGCCTCGGTCTATTAACCAATTGAAACCAGCCACGCGTCCTCACCAAACCCCACGCATACCGTCCGTTTCCCGAACAAATGAACGGCCAGATACGGCTCCACCCCATGGATCCGCGCCTCTCCTCTCCGCCCAATCAAACTCCGGCTCCTCTCCCTATTTAAAACCCAACCGATCACCAAGTCATCCTCACCATCACCAGCAAAAAAATCCCCAATTCTACAAAAAAATCCCCCCAGTTCCTAAAACCCTAGGAAGAAAAAAATCCCGTCCGATGGCGCCGAAGGCCGACAAGAAGCCCGCGGAGAAGAAGCCGGCGGCGGAGAAGCCTGACGAGGAGCCGAAGGCGGAGAAGAAGGCGGAGAAGGCCCCCGCGGGGAAGAAGCCCAAGGCCGAGAAGAGGCTGCCGGCGTCGAAGGAAGGGGGAGGGGACAAGAGCGGCAAGGCGAAGAAGAAGAGGAAGGCGAAGAGCGTGGAGACGTACAAGATCTACATCTTCAAGGTCCTGAAGCAGGTCCACCCGGACATCGGGATCTCGAGCAAGGCGATGGGGATCATGAACTCGTTCATCAACGACATCTTCGAGAAGCTGGCCCAGGAGGCCTCCCGCCTGGCCCGCTACAACAAGAAGCCCACCATCACCTCCCGCGAGATCCAGACCTCCGTCAGGCTCGTCCTCCCCGGGGAGCTCGCCAAGCACGCCGTCTCCGAGGGCACCAAGGCCGTCACCAAGTTCACCAGCTCCTGAACCGTTGGGCTCTGGATCGTCGTTTGGAATTCTTCGGGGGTCTTGGGTTTCTTCGCTTTTTGGTTGCTTGAATCGTTGTTTTGTTTTTGTCTTGTTTGGAAATAGTAGGCTTATTATTGTGGTGGGTGGGTGGTAGTTTTATGTAATATAAAGTCGGCTTTGAAATGAAGTATCTTGATTAGTATGATATGTCTACTTATGTTGTCTACTTATGCTCGTTTGGATCAACTCTTAAATATTTGGAATTAGTTCTAATTTCCTTGTGATTCCAAGGACGACGATTTAGTCTCAAGAGTGCAATCAGAGCTTGGCATGGACTTTTTTTTTCCTTGTATGCAGGTGCGGGTGTGGCTAAGTGTTACCCTAGCGATGCGATGATCTGATGATGCTATGATGCTTTGATATTTGTAAGTGTTTCTCAAGCCCTCGTGCTTGCACTTTATGTTCTCATATTAGTGTTACTGCAATGAGTCCCCTCTGCGCGTAATTTTTCAACAAAATTAGAATTCAATTCGATGGCTATCACCTCATTCTGATGTTAGGCTTAGGACCTCCAGTAGAAGTTGTTTGTTTACAAGAACTTCTTCATCTTTGTGTTTTCTGATGCTCCCGACTCTGAAGATGCTAACAGTTTTACTTGTTGAAACCGGTTTCTTTCTAAAATTATCGACTGCTATTCAATTACGTATTGCTTCTGGTTTGAATACTTATTTTTGGCACTGATTTCTCTCTGAAACGTTCGGTTTTTGTCATTCTCATGCTGCAAGTTTTGGCACTATGGTGATCTAGTAGTCTAGAACATAAAGGGCTTGTTTGGATTGAGGGGAATGAGGGTGAAGGGAAGTTAGGGAAACCATTCACCTCCATTCACTTTGTTTGAGAACACTTAGGAGGTGAAGTTAATTCACCTCCATTCACCTTGGTTCACCCCCTAATAGTATAAAAATTGTTACCCCCAAATTGTGGTGTAATCAAGGGGAAGGGAATTCCCTTCCCTTCCCTTCTCTTCCCTTCACTCAGTTTCCCTTAACTTCCCTTCACCCGCTACAAAACTTCCCTTCACCCGCTACAAATCCAAACAGACCCAAAGAAAACTGCTCGAGCCAGGAGTCCTTGGAATCTTATCGATAAAGAAATATCCTTGGAATCTCCATCCGGTTAGGAATTAAAAGTTGAAGGGACATCAAAGTAAGTAGTTCAAATTTGCTTATTAGGGGCTGTTCGTTTGGCCATTTTTTTGGGAAATCAAAGAATAGGAAACCTATTTCCTATAATATTTGTTTTGAGGTTGTTTGGTTGGTTTAAAAAAGAAAGAAATTGTAGAATAGGAGATAAGATGAGATGAGTTGTCAACTTATTATTGGATGATGTGAGTGATTTTAAAAAAAAATTGTTTTGAGGTTGTTTGGTTGGTTAAAAAAATAAGGAAATGAATTGGAGGTATATTATTGGATGATGTTTTGAGGTTGTTTGTGTTTGGTTCGTTTTTAAAAATAGGAAAATAGATGAGATGAGATGAGTTGGAGGTATATTATTGGATGATGTGACACGTACTTAAGGAAATTGATTTATTGTTTTTTTTTAGAAAATGGATAGAAAGGAATGTTTAATGAGATGAGATGAGTTGTCACAATATTATTGGATGATGTGTGTGATTTTTAAAAATGAGATAAAATGAGATGTGATGAGTTGGATGATGTGACACATTTTTTGTGTTTGGTTTATTTTTAAAGGTAAGAAAGGAGATGAAATGAGATGAGTTGGAAGATAAAAATAATATAAAAGAAACCTATCCAATTACAGTTCCAATCTAATAAGAACCTTTACCGACTTAAGGTCTAACAAAAAAAAAATCTGATCAGGATATCTTTGCATGTGTTCGGACTAGTATGTAGATAAAGCGACAACATCCCCTTCTTCTTTTCTTTCTTTTCTTTCTCCAATCGATCATGGAACGAGGTACCGTGACCGCTTCTGCACCCGGATGGTCTCAACTCCTCCGGAAGCTCCACCGACGACTCAGCGCATCGTTGTGGTCTTCGGTCCTTGCCGGCCGACCTCTCCTTGTAGGTAGAACCGAATCAGAGCTAGTTTTCTCATGCCTCCGCGATGGTAGGATCCGGAAATTACCGATAAAGTTACCCTTCAACGATCACCATCGTCGCCTTTGCTGCTTCGGCGATCTTGATGGCTGGTTAGCAATCGACGCCGCCTGCTCCTCGGACTTATTGAAGGGGGATTCTCGCAACAGTTACCTCGTTAACCCTATTTCAGGAGAGCAAATCTACCTTCCAAGGCTCGACGATAAAGACTGCGTGTTCATGGCCGCTGGTGGATTCCGAAGACGAGCTGTTGTTGGTCGGGAAGGGTTACGTCTATGATAAAGCTGCGGCGAGGGATGGGGTGAAGTTCTGCGTGTTGAAGATGGAGGGGGAGAGGTGGGTTGGGGTTGAGAGTTTGGGGGATCGATTGTTGGTGTTGAGCGAGTACGGCGCCGATAGCCTGAGCGCGGATGAGGTTGTGGGCTCGGATTTTAGGCGGGACTGCGTGTACGAGGTGCCCACGTGTGGTGATCTGTTGGTGTACTCGATGGGAGACGGGGGTTGTAGGAGGGTGAAGGTTTCGAAGGACGATGGCGGCGTTGGGTACGGATGGTTGATGCCGAGTAGACGGTGAATTGATGCGTCAAATTAAGTGAATTTGTTGATAGTCATTTTTCCAAATATTTTGTTTTTTTTTGTCTCAATTTTTCGTTTTGTAATTGTTTATCGGTCAATATATGCATGGCTACGATTTACGTGACGAGGAAGAGCATAATTTGCAGGAGATGCGATGTTGGTTATGCTAGAAATGAATCACTCTGCATATTATTGGATAATTATGATTGAGAAAATCTCCATTATGAGGTGATGTTGGTTATGCTAGAATTGTTAATAGTCATTTTTAGGTGAAAACTGCTCCTTTCTTCGTTCATTCTTTCTTTCTCTAGTTAATTATGGAACAAGATACTGGGACTACTTCTGCAATCAAGATGGTCTCAACTCTTACAAAGCACTCCACCAACGAGTCAATACATCATTGTGGTCTTCAATCCTCGCCGGTCGGCCTCTCCTTGTAAAAAAGAGCCGACTCTGATCGAATTAATTTTCTCATGTCTACGCTGTGGCTAGATCCAAAAAATTACCGACAAATTTACCCTTCTCTAATCATCATTGTGGCCTTCGCTGTTTGGGCGATCTTGATGGCTGGTTAGCCGTCGACACAACTTGGTCTCCCAACGTTCTTCAATTCTTGTAACAGCTATCTTATTAATCCAATTTCAGGAGACCGAATCGTTCTTCCGAGGTTCAGTGATGGTCGCATGTGCATGGCCGCCATATATATCCTCATCCCTGACTTCTGACAACTGCACCATCGTCGTCTACGGAAAATTCCAGGGATCGAGGACGAGACGAGCCGTAGACTTTGTTTGAAACCCCTTTGGGGGTTTCAGCTATGGCATTTCACAAAGGCAAGCTCTACTTACATTCAGAGATCAGCGGTCGAACTGGTGTTTATGTTTTCGATCCAGATGTAAAGTTGGTTGGTTGGTTATGTGGGTGGAGTCTGGGGATGTCATTTCTGTTGTGCGCAGCGGAATCCGAAACACAACAACCGAACGAGATAGGAGAACAAATCAACAACCAAACACAAGCACCACACAGCAAGACACCAAATTTTACGTAGTTTGGCAATGTGCTTGTTTTCGTCAAAAGTTGGTCTCGTTGTGGAATTCATTATATCTTCAGTCGATTATAATAAATTCAAAAGAAATAGTCTTTTTATAAGACTTCTTTTACACAACAAAATAAAAATTACAACTTTTTAGAAACAAACGCAGAATCGTTGTTTGGATCACTGCTTGCGTGGGATCTTTGCCTGTGCCGGGGGTGCGTTAGCCCGTGGACCACCGATTCACAGATTCTGATTGAATCGTGAAGGTTTTGGAAATTCTTCCTTCGTTTATCGAAGTAAGAATTTAAAGTGAATATCTTATCGATGTAAGATGTTCACTTTTCCAAAGATCAAGTCTGAGCTTAGACCTGTAGGAATCGCCAAAAGCTTCTTGAGGATATTTGTGAAGAAGGAAGACTCTCTCTCTTGCTCTAATTCACCAAAAACTCAAACCTTTTCTGCTCCAATCTGCCCCCTCTCCTTTATTTCGTGCCTAGGGAGGTATTTATAGGGGTAAGAATGCACAACAGTTGAACCGGGGGCGAAGTAACTGACCGGGTGCCTGTTCTTTAGTCGATACTGCCGCGGCTATTGGCGCGGCAGTGTGGACTGCCGCGGCCAAAGAGACAGTTACCAGCACGTTTCATCGTGCTTGAAACCGTTCTCCCACGACCTTTAACCACCTTTTTCATGGTTTAACTGCTTGTACACGTCAGCACACGTCCTATTTCTGATATGTTGCCACGTGGGCGTCAAATAATCATCACATAACTGCATTGTAACCGCTGTAGCATCCCCTATAATGGCCGCAGCACCATAAGTTGCAGCGCCTAAGCCGCGGCACCATAGGCTGGCGGGCTGCCGCGCCTTAGCCGCGGCACCATGTCCTGCCGCGCCGCAGTGTGTTGCCTGATGATGTGTATATTGTTCTTCTATGTTGTCTCACTTCCTTTGAATGATCCCCTCTGATTAAGAGACTGGTGTTTACCACATTCTCTTTGTCTTGAGTGGTATTTGGACGTCTGTAAGTATTTTTTGACGCCTACAGTGCCTACGTCCATGGGGTAAGGATGGGATGATTTTTACTAATAGAGAGAGAGAGTACAAATAGAGATTACAATGGATTTGGATCCTCTCCACTACAAAAAAGTAGTGAAGAGACCACTACTTTTAATCTCAAGCGTTGATTATTTAGTAGGCGGTTATGATACAATCTAAATCTAACACTTACCATACCCCCGTGTATTGCACTCATTCCTATTTTGCACTAAAAGAAAAAATCATAACCATCAACTAGATAATCAATGACTGTGATTATGTAGTGGTCCCTCCACTATTTTTTTTGTAGTGGAGAGGATCCGAATCCGATTACAATCACTCAATTTAATCTCACAAACAAAGCTCACAAATCTCTCACAAATTATCCAAGACAAAGTGCTCAAAAGTCTCTCTATTGTGCCATTTTTGAAACCCTAAAACGTGTTTGTATTTA